TCTTATTATCAACACACTCATATATGGATAATAAAATAAATCAAATGAGAGAATATTCATTTCGTAAAAACAAGAATTGAAGGTTCCAATCCAAACTCATAGCCATACATATAATATTTATACATAAATAATTGCATAGATTTCAAAAATTAAAATGCACAAAAAAGGAACCAATAGTACCGTTCATCGGAGGTATGATGGCGAGTCGTGAGATAACGCGTTGTAATTTGACCTTTGATTAGCCAAAGTTAATCAGAATAGTTGTACGGTAATGAGCAGTAGATTTGTATGCAAAATAATAAAAACAAAAAAAAAAAAGAAAAAGAAAAAAAGAAATTGAGATAAGAGAAGAACACAAGACGTAGAATTCCAAAAAGGCTCTATAATTATTAAATCTTCAACATGAATATATATACATAACCATACAACCCTTCATATCTTTCAACATAAAGAAGGGAGTAAATAAAGTCAAATAAAACATCTTATGAATAATGGCCATCAATGTTATATTTATAACAATGTTCTTATATAATGCCTATAAATCAACTGGTAACCCACCACTTGTGCAAAATTTTAAAACCATAATATTAGCTAGACATTTTTTATATATTGTAAAGGTGGTAGGCAATAGTTATTGGACTGTAGTCCACATAAATGTATGGACCACGATTCAAAAAGGACATCATTTTACGTAATTTTTTTATACACGATCCGCTGCAACATACATTTTTATAACTCATAATGTACATTATTCTAAAATATAATATACATTATTCTAAATCATAATGTATGTTATTTTAAAACATAATGTACATTATATTATTCCAGAAGTTTCATTATTCTAACACGTAATGTTCATTATTATAACACATAAAATATATTATTCTAACACCTAATGTACATTATTTTTACTCATAATATTCATGATGTTGTTTTGAACTGTGGTCCACAATGCTAGATGGACCATGGTCCACACAATAATTTGCCAGTAGTAGGTTAATGGAAAATACTACATGTACTTCCATTTCTACTCTTAACTTTTACTGTCACGCACACCAATTTTTGATATAAACATTTGTATTGGGACCCACATATGAATCTATATAAAAAAGTAATCAATCAATGTCTATTACATCAAGAAATAAAATTTAAAAAGTATGATTTAAGAGTTTATGTAGTAGAACTCTCGGTTAATTGGGGATTCATTTGGATTGGGTCAAAACTTATGACAAAAGGTGGATTGGGTCAAAACTGACATATATAACTGGCAACTTTTTCTTCTTCTTATTATTATTTATTTATTTTAACATAGAGACTAAATGGAATGAAATTAGATCAAATTATTGAAATATTGACAAAATATAGGATAAAATTAACAAAAAAAAAAAAAAAAAAAAAAAAGAAGGAGCCAAATCGATACTTTTGCTTCAAAGGTTTCCGAAAAGGATCAGAGTTGTTGAAAAATTAAAGAGTTATAAAAATAATTTTAGACATACTAAAAATGAAGAGAAAAATAGTACAAAAGGAGAATTATGATTAAAAACAAATAGGCAGACCGTGTATAGTCACTTTTGATTTTACATTATTAGGTTATTTTCACAATTGGTTTTTTTTTTTTTTTTTTTTTTTTTTTTTTTTTTTTGAAGGCTTCACAATTGGTTCTTAAGTACTATTTTGTTGGGTTGGGTTTCCCTCCTATGTGAAAAATAGCTCATGTTTGGACCAAGTATTTTTGTACCCACTATATAGTTTTTGTTGAGCCCTAATTATTATTATATTATATATAATAATAATAACATTTTAGGGAATATAAGAAGTTGGATTGATGGAAGAGTTATGTTGCTCTTTAAAGCATGCATGTGAAAGGTTAAAAGAATTTATTTTCTTTATCCCTTCACATTCCCATTTTGGTAATATAAAAGAAGCAAAACATTCTTCTTCAACATTACTACACACATGATATTGATTCGGCAGTAGTGCAAGACAGTAGTGAGCAGTGAAACAAAGCCAAGATTCTTTTGCTTCTTTTGTCTCCTTGGCCGGTCTTGTGAGGACATTCTCCACTACTTTTAGCGGCACGACGGCAGCGTGTTCGGCGGGCTTTGTCACACTTTTGATGCATGGATTTGTCGTGAGGTTTGCCGAAGCTCTTGGGTGTTTTCTTCATCAAATATTTGAAGAGGTCAGCTTGTTTGTTCCAGGCATCGTTTTGGGTAATCTCGTAATACTTTTATTCTTTTCACCTTACTCGTGGTGGTTGAATATTTTAAGTACGAGTTTGTATCCTTTTAAGGTCTGTGAAACATTATAGAAGTCTCTGGCCTAGAATTGTTGTATTTGATGATTTTTAGGGTGTTTGGTTCGGGTGGTAGCCAGCAACTTTGTACCTAAGATTTGTGATAGTGGAGTTATCGATGGTGGTGGTCCGTGGTTTTTCCCCGTGGTTTTGGGGTTTTCCACGTAAATCTTGTATCCCTTGCATTGTTATTTATTTTGGGCTATTGTGTTATCTCGTGTTTGTGGACCGTGTCCGGGTCTGTGATTTTCATTGTCACAGGAAGTGGGATTTTTCCCAACATATTTTTGCTATATTTGGTGCATAACTTTTTTTTTTTGAATGCTACTGACTCTATTACATTGTAGTATCTGTTCAGAGGTCACTACATGTCATCTGAGCACAAGGTGCTTGACGTATAACTTTTATTTATTTATTTATTTGTAACATTTAGTTCTCCTAATCAAAATTTTGAGATAAAATTATTACAATTCATCACAATTTAACTTAAAATCATATCAACTTGAACATTTTGATACTCTTGTGCACAAATGTATGATTTTGAACTGAAAATGTGATTCATTCGAATTGTTTTTAACCAAAGATTTGGTCAAAAGGACCAAATATAGTTTTAAAAATTTAAAAATAAAACGTGGACTAAATATATCAATAATAATACTTAAGAGTCAAATATGGATGTGACATTATAGTCGTGAGACTAACTCAGTAAAGTAGAAATAATTCTAGTTAAACTTAGTTCTGTTTATTAAGTGTTTTTGTGGTTATGCTAAGAATTCAAACTGCTTTGGTACAATTATTAAATTAACATTAAAAAAAAAAAAAAAAAGATCAAGAAATGATGCCCGCTTTTGGTAAAATTTACTCAGATGATCAAAACCATAGATTAAATAATTCATTATTTAAATGTTTGAAAGAAGTTATAAATTGTAAATTATACTGTGTTGCTTTTGTTTAAGTCAATAATTTAAGAATGATTTGAAGTAAATTATGGATTATTCAGTTTTCACAATCCATTATTGTCTAATAATCTATTCACATGATTTGCTTAAACAAAAGTTAAAAAAGTTAAGCATAATTTAAGATCTTATTAATCATGCTAAAAGTCAAATATTAATAAGCAGACACCTTTATATGTAATAATAAGGTTGTACTAGACATGAATGGACATGCCTGTCATTCACATACTCTTGATATCGATAGGTAAATTGCAATTTTTGAACTATACTTGAATATATTTATAATTAATTTATTATAAATAATATATTATGCTTAAATAAATGATATTATAATTTTCTCAAATACTCTAATGTTTTAATTATTTTCTTGTCAGATTAATTAAAATGGTTATTTAATTAATTTTGATAAAAATATTTAATATTTTAATTGATAGTAAATTACAATGCACCATATCAAATGATCTTGTGGTCTAGTGGCATAAAGTGACTCTCAAATGGAAAGTGGGTTCAACTTTTTGTCCTTCAATAAGTTGAGGAAGTAGTATATGAACAAAATATTAACCAAAATATAGTAATAAACTAAAAATTCAGCATCAAGGACTAAAGCATAATTTTTCTATTTGATTCATTTTCTTAAAAATAAACATATTATTTGTAATTGTTGGGCATCGGCCGAGTTGGCCGATTCAGCCCCTGCTCGATTCGAGATGTGGCGTTGTAGCTTGATTCATTTTCTTAAAAATAAACATATTATTTGTAATTGTTAGACGTCGGCCGAGTTGGCCGATTCAGCCCCTGCTCGATTCGAGACGTGGCGTTGTAGCTTGATTCATTTTCTTAAAAATAAACATATTATTTGTAATTGTTGGGCGTCGGCCGGGTTGGCCGAGTTCAGCCCTTGCTCGATTCGAGACGTGGCGTTGTGGCTTAACATGGAGGGATGTGGTTAAATGGTTAATGTCTACCCACTTAGAACTTTGTGGTTAAGCGTGCTTAACTTACGGTAGTCATAAGATGGGTGACCCCTCAGATTCAACAATTGGTATTAGAATCGAGGTCACGGGTTCGAATCGATGGCGAGGCGAAAGTCGAGTCCAATCTCAGACGGGATGTGGGCTTAGGTCGGGCTAAGTTCAGAGGGATGATGGACGCGTAGGCTAAAGACCAAGTCAGGCATGCCGCGCAACTGGGCTTTGAGACTAGGCTTTGGTATTCAAAGGTTGTTGCAGGTGCTGGGATACCATGGAGCTATATGGTTAAATGGTTAATGCCCACCTATTTAACTTACCGCAGTCACAGGATGATTAATGCCCACCTACTTATCTTACCGCAATCACAAGATGGGTGACCTGTGGAAAGTCATGATGGTAGTGTAGTAGTAATAATAATTTAGAAACTAGCTGGGAAAGAGATAAGAGATGAGATAGAAGATAAATACAGAAAAATAAAAAATTTGAAAAATATCTTTCGATTAAAAATTTAAAAAAGACATTTTTCGTCAAATTAAACATTTTTTCTATTGACTAAAACAAATATTTTTTCTTTTACTTTATTTTTTTTAGGTGCACTCAGAGTTTCCACCAACGGAGACACGACTAATCCCCTAGCTAAATTGTAGGAATAAAATGAATTATAACACTACGGACATAATAAAAAAGAAATAGAGAAGGTTAAACAGCAGCCTTGCGAACAAAGGTAAAAATGATACAGATAACATTTATGGACATGCCAACTAATCAGCTATCTAGCTGACTTCAACAAATATAACACATACATAGCTTACCTGCCTCATTCATACAACAACAGATTTTTAAGACCCAAATTCTCTAATGATTGAATGTTTAAATGCCAGAGCTATCACTATCTCGGGTGTTCAGTAGCAATGGCGTGCACATATATATACACACAGATGAGAATAATGATCAGATGGATAAAACATGATAATACAAATACAACAAACATTCTACAATCATTGGTTCTTCACATGTGCAGATACTCGGGATTAAATGCAAGAGCCTCTCTGTAAATCAGCTCCTTCATTTGTTCCTCGGTGAGGGCATGCTGCTCGAAGTCGAAGCTAAAAGGATTCAAGCATGAAGGTTCATCGCTAATGTCGTGCAGAGACGTTAGGTAGGGATGTGCAAGTGCATTTTCAACTGAAGACAAAAAGCAAAAAAATGGAGGATTAATAAATTATCACAGAAAATTTTGATAGGCGTGTACTTCTTAAGCATAAACCCAATACAGAAAACAATAATCACTAGACTATTAGGCTATTAAACTCACATAATTATGTGCTAAATCACAAACAGTTTCAGGCATATAACCACATAAATTGGAAATAAAGCATTTAGTTGAATTTGTTAGGCAATAAACCTGTCTCAATAATGTAACATGCTATCGAATAAAGAAACTGAAACTATTTCAGAGTGTTTCTTATAGTGTCAGAAAGGTAACAAGTGTACTAGCATGAAAGACAATAAATAAGAAAAACATAAGTATTTATAGAGGAAACCAATACAATTTCCGGCTGGCAATCTTATACTGTCTCACTGGAGTCTGGACCAAATAAATTATTTAACATACTATGTACTGATAATTGAACTAAATATGCAGAGTAATATTGAAGCAGAGCAGCACACTTTCATATTCAGATGCATATATAATAACTTGAGAGTTGAGCCATATAAAGGAGACCCAAAAAAACTGATTCAAAATCTAAAAACTGGTTCTACCCACTGACCTGTTATTCTTTTTCTAGGATCAAATGTCAACATTTTCTCAACAAGATCAATAGCAGCAGGGTGCACATGGGGAAATTTTTCAGTAAATGACTGGCGACGGTATAGAGGAAGTTGACGGATATATCTTTTTGCATTGTCATTTAAGAACTCCATTTCAGCTTCTGAAGGAGTACCGATCAGCTGAAAAGTGTACCCCTAATCAAAATTTACTCAAGTAGAGATAATCACATTCGAAAATGATTTGCACTCTAGTAATGGGCATGTGCCATGCATTTTCCATTTTATCTTCCAAATGCTATCATCAAAACTAAAATTAGAAGCAAAGATTACAAAGACAAGGTCAATGAAGGACAGCCACTCACCAGATGTGTAAGTATAGGTAATCAGGAACAAGAAAAGGAGAACACAATATCATTAGTTATTGTCTATAAGCTCTAAATCTTCTAGTATCATTTTCTTTTTAGCTGTGGTGGAATTTATTTTATTCTTCTCTTTTTCAGAGTCTGCTTTGAAGATATGGATTTAAATTCCAAGAAACGACTACAAATAGGGTTCTTCAAAATTACAATATAGGCAAGGATCAAGGATGGCTAGTATCAAGTCAAAATTCTTAATTATTACGGAGTAGTCTAAGTATACTATATCTTTAGCTTGAGAGTTCTTTCCAATATAAAGCTGTTGCTCCAACTGCAACCCATCTGTGATTTTTCCTCATAACACATCCCCTAGAATAAATTCAAGTGAATACTCCTCTTGCTAAAATCCATGATTTTTCCCCCAGTTGTCCTTAGTATAAAAATTTCCATAAGGATTCAACTCTATTACAAATTTAAACACAATCCAGTTTCCATTTTATTAAATAAATCAAATGAATATTACATGTTTGATATGAAGTGCAACAAAGAGTTTGGGAATTGCTATTAACTATTAATGATGGTTGAATCCCTCCATCCCATTCATTTTGTTAAATTTGGCTTGTTGGTTTAAAAGCCTCTATCTTTAAATATTTTCTTACAATTGAAATTCCAATTCTTGAGGGAAGCAGTACTTTTTATGTATTTTTTTTTTTAATGCCTAATCTTTATTTTCATGAATTGAATTCATCATATCATAACTAAAGCCAAATTAGGTCAAATTGACCCAAGAATTCGGAAGCGCTCTTTCAGTAATTTGACTCAAATTCTCCATAACACATTCAGTTGACCCTAATCTTTAAAGTAATCAACTTTAAAAGGATTTAAATAGTATGTGTATGTCCGCAGTCAATAGTGGTATCTACCATTCAAGGCGAGTTGCTTCATGTCCCTTTCCATAGGCTCACCACTGTCTATGCCTAATTAACAATAACAGAAGGAATATGCAAAGATTGAGACTTGAGATTGATGATCATGATAATATTGACAGAATGATAGCCAATAAACTTTTAGACACAGCTTGTAGTGAAGGAAATGATACCTCCATAAGCAGACGTAACTGGTGCACGTGATCTCTGCCAGGGAACAAGGGCTTCCGATCCATCAATTCCATAAAAATGCAGCCTACTGACCATACATCAATTGCGGCAGTATAGTCAGAAGAATTTAACAACAGCTCAGGTGCCCGATACCATCTTGTTACTACATATTCAGTCATAAAATCTGTTTCAGAAGTGACACGAGCTAATCCAAAATCACATATCTTCAGATCACAATTGGCGTTTAACAGAAGATTGCTAGGCTTCAAGTCTCTATGCAAAACATTTGCAGAGTGTATATATTTCAACCCACGGAGAATCTGATACAAGAAATACTGCAGAAAAAGTGCACAAATGAGAAATGAATTGTTTACCACACACAAACAACATTGATGAATCACAATATGCATTCAAAGAGAAAAAGAAATGAAAAATTCGGAAGTCTTTGAAAAGATATACAAATACTCCATAGCTAATAACTTTAAGTGAAGAATTAGTGCTGCATCATTAATGGCAAACATTCTGTAGTATATGCCACTTGTTTTAAAACTAGTGCTCAACTTAAAAAAATCTCCAGTCTAGATGGGCACAAAAGCAGTTTTTTTCCAGCATCTTTTCAGTATTGCCTCTATTATTTACTTTAGATTTTATTTAGATCCTCAACTTTCTTCACTTTCCTGGCCCATTCATTACTCATAAATAAGTATCCTTTATTTTGTATCAAACCTGCATGTGTTTCCAGAAACAAATTCAAGCATTCAAATGAAATTCATCCCAGAGGGAGAGAAATTATTTCTACAGATTGCTTATTATGAGTCAGAGACTCAGAAATCAAATAATTGTACTTTTCTAGTGAGTTGCGCTGAAGTCAAATAATTAATGTTGAACATCTTAGAGAATGTCAATATCCAAACTTAAACCTGACAGTGTTCCTCTGACAAGCCTTGATTGGAGCGAATAATTTGATGGAGATCAGTGTCCATAAGCTCATATGCAATATATACATCATTGAATGACTCTCTTTGCGGTGGTGGTATTATATCTCTTATTCCAACAATCTGCAAGATAAAGGCAAGATTAGATAGAAGAATCAGTAGCAAAGGAGTTTTACTCTTTCTTGACGAGGCTTTCATAGTGCTTTGAGTCTTTAGAAAATGATATATTAATGAAAAAGGGCAGCCCCTTTCAAAGTTCACTATCAACTCTTCATTTTCAACTTATTAATGGATTTCCATCTAATGTAAATGTCTGCACAAGTTGATAAACCCTTTCTGTTCTGGAATGCTTTGTATTTTAGCTTTGACTGTTCTTAATGCGCTTACTATTCTAGTATTCTAAAATGCTTTAGGCCCTCTTTAGTAGAATGGTAAATTTTCCATTAATTTTTTCCCCTTCTCCATTATCCAAAAGTGGAGCAACTTGGAGAGGGTGAGAGAGAGAGAGAGGAAAAAAAAAGGTCCTGTTTACCTTCAAAGCAAGCGTGAACTGTGGAAAACACTGTTCACCCGTGTTTTATTTGGAAAACTCCTTCCAGTGTTTTCCAACATTCAATAGGAAGTTGGAAAAATGAAAAACAATATAGACTTGAACACAAACTCCATTTTTTTCCAATTTCTTCCCATTTTCCATTCTCCAAAAGTTGACCAAATTGGAGGAGAAAAAAAACATGTGTACCTTCAAAACACGGGTGGTGTTTTATTTGGATAACTCCTTCCCGTGTTTTCCAACATTCAATAGAAGTTGGAAAAAGGAAAAACAATATCCACTTGAAGACAAAATCCATTTTTCCAATAAGAAAAAAAAAATTTGAGCTTTTACTGTTTGAATCTTCTCCATATGTCATCATATATAAAGGCAAGTGCAAAAGGTATTGACCAAATGATATTGGAAAGTTTGTTTTGAGAGCATGTATGATGGCTTTATGATGTTTTGATATATTGTACAAGATACTTACAATGCACAATACTGGACAAGGTTTATTTATAATTTAGGAAAGAAACTAGATTTTATTCAATGCTTAAGAAAGATTGGAAATTAAATCCATATCATCTTGTTGTCCCCTTTTCACTCAGAACTCAGAAGTACAGTCAATTGAGCTATTTAGTACACTCAATTGCTCACTGTCATTCAACCACATATGTAGCATAAACATTCAATTTTTTCTTGTTACTACTAAATTTAACTTGAACACAATTTAAACAGATAAATAAACACTGCAAATTGATAATCTATGCAAGGGTGTGTAGAGATGGTTCACCAACATTCTCGTGATCCATGTGGCGAAGCAGCTTAATCTCACGAAGAGTCCTCTTGGCATCAATTCTGTTATCAAATGCATTCGCAATTTTCTTCAGTGCTACGTGCTCGTTTGTTTCCGAATTCAAAGCAGAACTTCATTTCACCCCAAAAGAAAAATCAAAGTATCTATCAATCCCCCAATCGATCAACACATAGCTAAAAGGCAGCGTAAAATTACAGAAAAAAAAAATAGATTAGGGCAACTTACCAGACGATACCATAGGCGCCTTTGCCAATAGGCATGATGGGGGGCTTGTACTTGGCGGTGATCTCAAATACGTTGCCGAAGATGTTGTATTGGATGAATCTGCCGCCGTGGCTGAGCGTCGCCGGAATATTGTCGATCCCCATCATCTGTGGCGGCGGCGGCGGCGGTTGCTGGTCGGTCTGCTGCTGCGGAGCAGCCTCCGACATCAACGTATCCGCCGGCTGAGCTGAACCTCCGTCCATTTTCTCCTCCGCCAAAAATGCCAAACAACGATAATTGCAATTATTTTTGCTGAAAGAGTACTAAGGATAACAATAATACAACAAATTAAAATCGTAATTATAAACCCTAAATTAGAACTTTTATTCACTTCGCCCGTATATTTATGGAGCTGATAATCTGGCTATTATGCTAAGTTCCTCTGTCCCTTTCCCAGTTTCCCTCTTGTCAGGTCATTTGGTCAAAGAACTGATGTTCCAGGGATGTGTGATTTGCTACCTTAGCCCTTAAATCAGGAGTCCATCCTTTGACGTTTCTTTTGTTAAAATTCATTCTTCCAATCTTTTGTTAAAATTTATGCTCAGATGGCATGTAGTGACCTCTTCCACGTAGGAGGTCATGAAATCGTTGTGCTTTAGTATGTTGAAACAGAGACTATAATGTAATAGAGTCCGTAGCATTAAAAAAAAAAAAAAAGTTATGATATTTTTTTGGTACACCAAATAGGACACTTTTAAAACTTGAACAAAATAAAGAGAAAATCGTTCGCGACTTGAGTTTATGGTAAAAAAACGCAAGTTACAAACGAATTTCTCATTTTTTATTTATAATTGTTCTTTTTTTCACTTAAAATACGAGTCTCAAAATATATATGTTTTTGTTATATATTTTTGTACAACACAAACGCAAGTGGAAACTTGCGTTTGTAAAACAAAACAATAAAATAAATAAATAAATAAACGCTCTCCTTCTCCGGCTATGTTCTTTTTCTCCCATGACGGTGATGTCGAAAACTTTATGGATTTCAATTCGCTCTCACTCTTCCATATTCCACCCAGTAGCCTATCTGGACTCGTAGGTGATCGTCGTCGTCACAATCTCCACTCTTACAATCATCGATGCAATCATCGATGCAATCATTGATTTCTTGCATGGTGTTCTGTATGAACTCACCGAAGGAGTCCAACTGATGCCTCACCAGACCTTTTTCCTCACGGATCAAGAGAGGATCTCCAACAAGGCCAGAGACAACCGGGTTAACAAAAGTGGCGGTTCAAACGAGAATATTCTACACACCCCGGTTTACTGGTGGGTAGGTGATGTTCAGCCTAGGACAAAGAATGGAGAGGATATGGGGAACTTCTACTCTGCTGGCTGTGATGTCGCTTGAATCCCCAAAAAGCGTCTAACACCAGACATGCATTTAATGAAAGGATCGTCCTCGTGATACGCTCTATTGAATTTTCTCACCGTTTATGGTTTCAGACTCTCATACACTCAGAGTGTGATTGATCTTGCTTTTGTGCTCAGATAATATAATGTTTGTAGGAGTCTAGTTGAGAAATTAACTATGTTAACAACTCGAATCTTTTGTCCTCCCGAATACGATGGTTGTCTTTACCAATCGTCCCTTATCTCCTCGAATGATTTGTCTTTATCACTCAGTCTTGATAATACACAAGAGGCAGACCATTCCATAATTCGGTCTTTGTAGCCTCTCGGTCTTGATCATACTCAATAGGTAGACCCTTCCATCATTCGGTCTTTGCAGCCTCTCGGTCTTCGTCTTCGAATCTTCTATCTTCAGTTATTCGTCTCTGATTACACTTTGGCTCGAACCGCTGAGAGATAACCGCTCGGGTTAAGTCTCGGCTTGTTGTCCTCGTTTCATTTGAGAGTTAACCACTCGGGTTACTCCTCGGTATTTAGACTTGAATTCCTCGAGTGTACATTCAGATGTATACAGTTTAACCACTCGGGTAACCATTCGGTTAAGATTCGAATGTTGAGTAGACTTATCTTAAGTCTAAGAAAGTAAAAAGATTGGGGGTCTAAACTCATAAGTTTGGTATCATCAAAACCTAATACAAAATGTTCCTAACACGGTCAAAGCAGAGAGCATGTGGAATAGTTACAAAAGGCCACGCATTAAGAGCACCGCTTCATCAAAGAGCAGTTACGGATCAGATGAGTAATAATGGAACACAAATTAGAGTAATGGACCATATTTGAGAGGTACATACCAATTTTCCAGAGTTCTCATGGTCAACGGTGAAGAAATGGAACACAATGGATTACATAGTGGACTTTCCAGATCGTAACTGAGTGATGGATTTGAGCGAAGATGGCGAGATTTGGTAGTCAACGATGTAAGAGAGAAGAAAAGATGAAGAGATGAAGAGTACATCTAGATGATTCTACATCTGCCAGCGTATGGATTTATATTAAATGTGCATTCCATCTCGCCATAGAATTGCCTGTGATATGTTACCGGAGGGCAACTATCCGACCGAGGTGTACCGACGGAGGCAGAACGGTGTAGACGACGGCAGTCCGCAACGGCATCACTAAAGAGAAATGCGGTGTGAGAGTGTGTCGCAGAGTAGCTCTGAACCTTCAATGTTGAGGCTGCGAAGATTTCAGGCGACAAAGGGTTTGAAACGGTAGACTAGAATTTTTTTTTTTTTTAAATCAACTCCGTATTTTACCGCTAAATAAACGGGCGTTAATATTTTCCACACACAGATGTGTAATTTTGGCCTTTTAAATCACTACAAATCTCAACCGTGCATCTTATATTATAAGGCCACAATTGGTTCTTTAAGTACTCATATTAATATAGGAACTCCCTTTTAGGTAGAAACTTAGAAACTGATCCAAGCCATCTATTGTATGATCAATGGTTATTATTTATTTAATAGTTTAATGGGATTTTACCGCTGATTTCTTTTTATTTTTGGTAGTGGGGGTAAATTGGCCATTTTGTTATGTGATTGTGCGGAGGGGGGGGGGGGGGGGTGCGAAAAAGGCGCCGACTTTTATAGTCCACCTTCTCAACGTCGCTTTCAGTTCCTTCGTGTGTCTCTTGGTTTGTTCTCACGTCTGCGCTTCCGACTTCACAACCCAATCTGTCACGTTCATCCGTTGCTGATAGTTGCCTTTTTGGGTCCACCGTTCTCGTTTGGGGGTGCTGCTCTTCCGGCTGTGCATCGTCAGTTCGTCACGTTCTTGTAGTGTCGTAGTTGTTGTTGTAATAGGGTTATGGCAGACGATGTGGGAAGGAATGAAAAGCGCCCTCGTCTGGCAACTAGGGCTTTCTACCAAGGTTTGATTTTTTTTTTTAATATATAGATAATTGTTTTGTGTTCGTTTGTTCATTTTGTTAATCTATTAGATTGGTTTCTTGTGTAGTTTAGAGTTGTTGGGTAGTGTTAGGTTGTGGGTGTGGTGGATGTGGTGAATGGGTGTCGTCCGTCCCGTTTCTAGGGTTTACAACCTAGGTTTTTTTTTTTCACTGTTTTGTGTTGTTTCTTTTAGATTTTACGGTTTGTAGTAGTTTTTAAGGTTGTGGGTGTGGTTTGTGCGGTGTATGGATGTTGGTTTGGTAGGGTGTTCCGTTTTTTGTTAATGGTCTATTCTTGGTGATTCTGACGGATGTCGGGTGTGGGTTGTACAATGTGTTGCTTTGGCGCTATATGTCAAATTTTCCCTTTTTTAGATTGTTTTGTGTTTGTCTGTGTGGCATTTAATTTGTCTGTTCTAGTTTTGTTTGTTATACTTTTTGTTGGGGTCCATGGTCCGTGGGTTTGGGGTCTATATATTTTTTTGTTTGTGTATTTTTGTTGTTGTTTGTTTGTGGTGCTCGGCGTGGGTTTTCACCTTTTGGGGTGTGTGGGGGTGTGCAAATGAGGTGTATGTTTGTTCTTGGGGTTTTGGTTGGGTGGGTAGCATGGTGTATGCCTTTACATTTTTTTGGTTGTGCATTGTACGGGTTTCTAACTGTGGTTGGGTGTTTCGGGTTGATAGTGTGTGTTGTTTTAGGGTTCCTGTAACTTGGTGTTGCTGGGTGTACACTTGTGGGTGTGTGTTAGCTTTGGCTTGTGCGCACTGGTGTGATTTATGATATTTGATGCAGTTGTGTTAATAGGGGTGTGCATTTTAATGGTAATAAAGTGGGGGTGTGCAAGTGGGTTTATACGTTTGTGCATTTTGGTGTTTTTTTTTTCATTAGATTTTGTGTTTATGGTTTGCTCATTAGGTGTATTGTCCTATTTTCTGTTCAGATGGACTGTTTCTTTGGTGTGTGTATCTTAGTAGTGCTACATGTGCAGTTGTTGTGTGTTTGTTGGCATTTCTACAACTATGTGTGCAGGGGTGATAATATGTTTGTGCATTTTAGTGGTAATAAATTGGAGGAGTGCATGTGTGTTTATACATATGTGGGGTTTTTTTTTTCATTATATTTTATGTTTATGGTTTGCTCATTTAGTTTATTGTCTTATTTTTTTTATTCAGAGGAACTGTTCCTTTGGTGTGTGTATCTTAGTATTGCTGCATGTGCACTCGTGGGGTAGGAAATCTGGCTTATTACCACCTGGCGCTACCGATGGAGTTAGAGCGGGTGCATAATGTGTTTCATGTGTCACAATTAAAGAAGTATGTGCACGACCCTTCGCATGTGATTCCGCCAGAAGTGGTGCCCCTTGACGGGACCATGTCTTATGAAGAAAGGCCGATCCGGATCTTGGACTTTAAGACAAGAGAAACCAGCAGGAAGTCGGTGAAGATGGTAAAAGTATGGTGGTCTCATCACGGAGTGGAAGAAGCGATACGGGAGTTGGAGTCTGCCATGCGTGAGCGTTACCCCAATCTGTTTACCTCAGGTACCGCGAGTTACCCTTATGCTTTAGCTGTGTAGACTTATGGCGTGTTTGGTTCATGAAATAGGTCGGGAATGGAATACCATTCCTGAGAATAGACCTATTCCATTGTTTGTTTTGTCTTTTTATTCAAGGGAATAGCGTTCCCGGAAATGAGCTATTCCTTTTGCAGGGGGAATAGCCATTCCTAGGGGACCCCCTGGTATTAGCTATTCCCAAGTATTTGGGAATAGCTTTAGTACTATAATACCAAAAATACCATACCACTGCCACCATTGCTACCACCGCCACCGCCACCACAATCATCGCCGCCACTGCTACCACCGCCACCACAACCACCCCCGCCACTGCTACCATCGCTGCCACTGCTACCACTGCCACCACCTTCGCCACTGCCACCACCACCACTGCCACCACCACCGTCACTGCCACCGCCACCACCACTGCCACTGCCACTGCCACCACTACCGCCGCCATCACCACCACCACCACCAACACCAACACCAACACATATTTTTATAAGGGTATTTATGTCTTTTGAAACATATTTCATTTTATTCCTTAAACCAACCAAACACTGTAATATAATTCCTAAAGTCTATTCCTTCCACGAACCAAA